TGCTGTTTCGATGCCGTGTGGCGTCTGGGTTGTGTGCGCAGCGAATTCTGTGCTGTGCGGTGCTTCTCCGTGTGGGGAAAACCATATCACAGAAATCACATTTGAGCTCGGGAAGCGGTGGAGGATGCTCCGGATGAAATAACCGACAGTGACTGACGAGACCCGAGAATCCCGTCAATGTAGAATCACAGTGCGGACATTTCTCCTTCCGACGGCGTGTGACGGTTTGTCCCCTTACTGGAGAGACGTCTTCCTCCCTTGCCGTCGGGGGAACATTGTCCGTCCCCGGCGCAGTTGGATCGTTGTTAGAGCGCATATATGCAGACTGTTCCGGTGAGATGTTGCAGAAACGGCATTGGTTCGTGCAATCTCTCAAAGCCCAGTATAGTCGACCCCAGAGCTCCGATTCCCCGCACCTTGCCCTTGCGAGGTGAACCAGTTCCTGACGGTGTAGAACTTCCTGAGTGATCAGGTCCTTACCGCTGAGATCGGATGGCCTTGTGCCGCAAAGCAAGTAGCGATGAGTGTCTTGACAAATGGTACTACGCCACTTGTTGGTGAGCTGGGTAGTAAAACATGTCAGCAGATCCGTATGCCATAAAGGTGCGATTCCTTGCTCCGTGTATTGTCCACTTTCCATAGTCTGCGTCGCATGCTAATCTGCAGGCTCGTTAGCATGTACTCCGCAATGTCCGTAACAAAACTGCAGGTGCACAGACCAGCCAGCACACGTCAGTGTCAAGAGACGCTGCCAGATCTGATCCTCCGTCCAGTCTGTCTGACTGAGCGGGCCCTTGTTTAGAGCCGCTAGAAGAGACTGACTGTCCGTAACCACAAGCAGGGTTTTACGCCTGTGGCGGATACGAGGAATCATCAGCTTCTCTAGGGCTAGAAGCAGCGCACAGGATTCCGTCCTGTAGCTGCATGGGCGTGCACCGCAGTTTATGCTGGCCTTTTCTATTATCTCCGATGAGTTGAGGAATGAAAGCAGTATTCCAACCCCTGCTGACTTGCGAACGTCGACACCGCCATCGGTCGCAAGTATCCACGAACGATGGCTGTGCAGCGCCAGAGCCTCTTCACTGACTCTGCGCTTTTCCCTTATCAGCTCCTCTTCGTCAGTTATTGAGAGGTCTATCGGAAGCTCCACACCGATGGTGACCCGGTGAGCGGAGGCCGCAAACCAGGGAGGAATGGAGCTGCGAAAGAACCGCTCTTCGCGTGGTGAGGTCTGGGTGATGCCGTAGTCCTTTGTGTATGCGTCTACGAATGCATATAGCTCGTCCCGAGACAATGGCGAGATGCGGAAGCCGGCGCGAGGCGGTGGCTCAGGCGGGGGTCTCCGCATCCAGTCCATCTGACATGCGCGTGTGTTCTCAAATATTGAGAGCCGTGCGCGCAGGCAAAGGACGTGTAGCGGCGGCATATTAGCCTCCAGCAGTGCGGATTCCGGGTCAACAGTGCTCGGAACTCCGCTGACAATGCGTGCTAGAGTTGCGTACGTCTTCTGCATCTCATTCTTCGCTGAATCCGTCGCTACTGCCCATATGAGCTCGCTGCCATAGCGTAATTTGGAAGCACCGTATCCAATGACGAACGTGCGTAGGTCATGTGGCGATGGTCCCGCCTCTTTGTGCGCTATGCAGCGTAGCTGCGATATCCGTTGCGAAGTGGCAGCGCATTGCTTGGTGGCCGCCACATTTAGCGTCAGTCGTGGATCGAGATCCATGCCGAGAAGCTTCGTAGTTCGCGATGCCCCCATGGCCATGACTGGGATTTGACATCCAGCCACTACCAGGGGCCACTTTCCTTCGCGATCATAATCTGACTCCGTGTGCGTGGATAGTGTGAACCAAGCAGCTTCACACTTTGACGGGTTGATGGCCAGGCCATTTTCCTGACTCCACGCATGCAGTTTTTGAAGAACCATGTTGGCAGTGGGAATGGCGTCTTCCCGGGACTGCCCCTTAACGATAATAGAGAGGTCGTCCGCATACATGTCTGCTGTGGCACCCGCAAAGCTGTTCAGCAGATTGAGAAGTGGGTGTGCGTAAAGGGAGAACAAATACGGTCCCAGCACGGACCCCTGAGGAACTCCTCGCAGCATGGGACGCCGATCGCTGTGTCTGTGGCCAACTCGTGTCTTCGCGTGGCGACCACATAGAAAGTTTCTAAGCCACCTTCTACAATTCACCCCCGGAATATTAGCCAGCAAGCGACTGAGGACTCGATGATCTATGGAGTCAAAGGCCTTGCTGAAATCAACCAGCACCAGCAGAGTCCGATGGGGTCTGTAGTGGAGTTGATTGCCAATACCGCTCTTCTTGGGAAGGCTCACTTGGAAATAGTGATTTCTATTATGCTCCACTTCGTGTATCAGGTGTGCCAGCTGCATCGTCGTGGTACGCATACTACGATATGCACACTGGTGGGGGTGCGGCGTCCACACCCAAAGCAATCTCCTCAGTACCATTTTCTCAGCAACCTTACTCACAATGGAGGTAAGGCTGATGGGTCGATATGGCTCAAGCAGTTCCGGCGACTTAGCGGGTTTTAAGAGTGGAACGATGGTAGCGCGTCTCCACTCAACCGGAATCGTACCGATCGTCCAGCTGTGGTTAATGCAGCGAAGAAGGAATCGGAGGCCCTCTGACGAAATATGTCGCAGTGCCTCACTGTAGACTTCATCCGTTCCGGGGGCCTTGCCATACGGCGTATTACGTAGCGCAGCAAGCAGTTCCGTACGATTAAAAGGTGCACCAAGAGGGGAGTGAAGATGAGCAACTAAACCGGATGTGGTGGCAGCTTCGTTTTTATCCTGCAACTCAGAACTAGATGAGAGTGAAGAACCTGAAGTAAATGAGGCAGCAGACTCGCTGCTGTTCTGCTGCCCAAAAAGAGAAGAAGCATTAATGTTCAAAGATGCACTCTGTCTGTTGATGCCTTTGGAAAACCTAACTGCCTTGTGAGAGGGGTGAAATGGAAGAAAGATGCGATTGAGAGCATTCGCTGCTCTCCTTGCTGTTTTGTAAGTGTGTTGACCATCTCCCAATAACATTGATGTGGGAGATGGAAGTGATGCCTTTTTTCGTCCGGAAATGTATTTCCATGCGAGTGGCTCGCCTGGATTTAACTTGCTGATGCGACGTAGATACGTGTTGCACAAGCACTCTCGGAGTAGAAGGAAGAATTGACTCCTTGTCCGTTGCATTTCTGCCTCACGGTCGGGCGTCGGTAACTGTAGATAGCAGGCCTTGCTGTCGGTAGCAATCCGCTCTGCCTCCATGAGAGTGTCGTCCCAAAGCCTGGGACCGTCCTTGTGCATGCCGCGGGGGCAGTGTCGTCGATACGAAGTTATAAGCGCTCTCATGAAAGCCTTAATGCCGGTGGACTGCTTTTTATAGTCATATGCCGGAAGTTGTGCGTCGAAGTCCTTGATGAATAAATCCCACTTGCACTTCCCCCAACTGTAGAAAAACTTAGGTGCCGAAGGTATGGTATCCTTAAATGCCTGATGCAGCGTAAATGTCAGCATATAATGATCACTAGGCGGCGACACGGAAGCTGACCAATCCGACACAGTCAGATGCTTTGACCATGTCAGATCGATACAGGATCGTTCTCTTGTGCCACGGGCATACGTGATCTCACCAGGGGTGTTAACCAAGGTGAGTCCCGCATCCGTGCACAGTTCTAAAAATTCTGCGGCAACCTCGCTTGGAGAAGTCCCCAAGAATGGCTCCCACTGTGGGTGATGCATGTTGAAATCCCCGCACAGCAGGAGCGGCGACGAGGCTGGAAGGCAGTTTACTAACCGCCTGAAGAATTGCGTTACTTGCAGTGGTGGTCTCATACAGACACTCGCTACAATAAGATCACGGTTCTGGTCCAGAGCAACCTGGACCACCACCACTTCAAGGCTGGTGTCATGCTGGGGGATGGTGAGGGGTATACGCTTGGAGCGGAGAGTTTTCCGCACCAGCACCGCCACACCGCCGCCCTTGCCGACGCGCGACTGTGCATAGAGCAAATAATCTCCAGTGTGCATGCTGGCGATCTGCTCTGACGACTTCCAAGTCTCCTGGATGGCTATTATGTCTGCTCCTTGCGCCATTAATGTTGCGAGTTTTGACGGCGTGAGGCAAGAAACGTTCATCTGGAGTACTGCTATGGGGCCTGGGTTCTGCTCAATGTCTCCGCTTAGCAGTAGCTTTTGTCGTTGCGCGTCACATACGGCACGCAAACGGTATGTATAGCGCTGATAAGCGCCGATGGAATTCAGCAGCGGATACAAATACCGCTCCGCGGGCAGCCATGTAAATGGCTCCATCTGGTGCCCTTCCGACCAGCTTGTTCGGCGTCCGGCAACTCTCCGCGTGCAGCGGGTGGGCGGCAGGCGCTTAGCTTCCTCTCTAGCAAAGAGCACCAGACCCTGGCACCACGTTGGGGTGGCCGGCTGAGCCAGGCCCCTCCGGCCATCATTCGCCTAGTCGTGAATGATGACGTTTCGGGTCCCGACCATGTGCGAGATCGCGGGGGCCATCGCGACGTTTATCGTGGGGTGCCGGAGGGAAAAGCCGGGCGCCCGCCCTTCGCGAAGCACGACGGCCACCCGCCGCGGCCGCCTTTTTCTTCTTGGGCTCGCAGCGTGTCGGCGCGTCTTCTCGCCTCGCCGCCGGCGGCTCTTCCGCTTGTCTTCGTGGTGCGCGGGCCCCATTGCCGCTTGCGGCGCTGTATTGAGCAGGGTTTCCTTTTTGTTGCGCAGCGTTTTCGCTGTTGGAATTTTTTGTTGTTTGTTCGCGGGTTTTGGGACTTTTCCGTGTTATTTTTCATTTTGAGCACTATATTGTTGTATTATTATCATTATTATTATTATTATTATTATTATTATTATTCTCTG